TGTTGTAATAGGCCCTTCACACAACCGAACAAAATGTTTTTCTGTTATTCTTTCATCTTCTACCCACACACCAATAAATTACAAAACACAATCAACACTTTCTATCACTGACTGCAGATACACACACAACTCACACAATCACGCCATGCACACACATCCGTTCCTTCCCAACATGTACAACCCCGTAGTTTTACAAAATCCTTCTACAATGTCAGCAAAATAGCAACAAAGAATCTAAATAAATGAAAGGCCGATGGTCATGTACGCGTCTGGAAGGGGACTTTGGAAGGAAACCAAAGGACTCCATGGGATCGTCTGACACGGCCTGTTTCGATCGTACTCCGGAACGAACACGTCCAGTTTTATAAGTAAACTCCGCATTTTTCTCTGTATCGTTTATATTATATTGACAATATTTGAATTAGCGTGTACAAATATTTTATTTAAGTTTCATGTACTATTTCTTTTACCATATAAATCACTTTTGTGTATTTTGTGTAATAAGTGACAATAATTATATCATTTGACAATTGACATCAACTTGTTTTGTGTTGAAATTATTATTACATAAATCCTGTCTTCGGCATTATGGATAACATAAATATTCAGGTAACACTATTTGAACTCAACCTGCATTCTTTATTTTACAACGGTAGACCCTCGATCCATACGCTCAAGTGAAGAGTCAGATCCCGCGTATTTCCCCATTCATTTCAATCCTAAATCCCCCCCTTTTCATTTTCGTATTTTTTTGTTTTACAACAAATTAATACCTTCTCCGCTTCGCATCTAAGCTAAAATAATTTTTTTTTTGAAAATTGAAATTTTATTTTTTTAATTAGCTCTTGAAAAAGGGTAAATTAAAAACACACTAAGTACAGATCTATTTTGTCATATACAACATTTTCTATTAATTTTCGGATGATTAGTAGAGGTGAAAGTATACAACATTATGTTTATGAGGCTAACAAATTTTCGTCATCAGAATGTATTTACTTTTTTTAAGATACCAATTTATGGTCTAGACATTCCATCGATGACTAATTGAGTTATTTCATTGAAGTCATAAATACTATTAGTATAGAGTTACCGTTTTTAAGCCTTTTAACAAGCTAATGTATTTTTTTTCGTTAAAAATTACAAATAAAGTATATTTTAGATAGCTAATTTGAATATTATAAAATATAAGAACCAATAATGCTTCTAAATGTTATTAGCTTAATAATATATTTTTTTAACATAGTAAAACATCATTAATGTTGTTGCTAATGTCCAGTCAAAGAGTAATAAAAAAATTAAATTTACAAAAAAAAAAAACTAGAATTATAAGTAAAGCAAAATAATAACTTCAGAATTCATTTTATTTATAGTAGTAGTATTAAATCTAATTTTTGAGTTTATGATGACTATTCATTACTTTATAGTTAAAAACTAAGTAAATAAATAATCCATCTAATTCACAATAAATGGAATAAGTTTGTCGTCTAAACTTTTGTTGTCACAATCCACTTTTCTAAAACCCAGTATTTCATAACAAGATTGGTAAACATTTTCACAAAAATTTTCAAAATAATTACATGCATTAAGGTAACTTTGATTTATTGATTGAGGACATGTATTTTTTAACATATTTGCTGACTTCATGAAATCTCTAATTTTTTTAAATTTATCATAAAAAGGTACTTTTATTAAACAACGTGTTTTTATGTGAATCATATCACTATGCAATTCATCATTTAATTTTACACGAAAACATTGAATACTATTGAGAAGTTTTTCAACTATTTTGATGTTTTCAATTTCATTGTTTTTCAAATTAACTTGAGAAAACTCATTGTTCTTTAATAAACAGAGAAAACCTGAAACCCATTCTAATATTTTATGTAAACTTGATTGAGAGCTGAAATTAACAGTCCATATTGATGATTTATTTAAAGTAATTAAAGCTGTATACAATCCTTTAAGCATTAATTTAGATTTGTTGAATACATTAAAAAATTTAATCAAACAATTGTAGTTCAAAGGCTTCGATTCTGCATTGCATAGAACCATTATAGCAGATATCAGTACATTGTAGTTTTTTATTACTTCTGTATACCTACATCTTAATAATTGAATTACATGCTCCTTTTTTATTTGAAAATTGATGTTATTAATGGTGTCTTTTATTATATAATCTACGCTGAAGTGTTTATTATTGTAAATTATTGTTATGTGATTCATTGATTTCCAGCCAGTTTCCTGAAGAAGAATATTGAGAGCTTCTACTGCATCATTTTGATTGATTATTGGAGGTATAAGTCTAAATTAACAAAAAATATTATATTACGTAAATACATTGACGGTTTAAACGTAAATGCTATCAAGCTGCAGGGGCACAATAATAGTAGAACATTGTAGATACTGTAGTGATAGCATATATATTTTTACTGTCTCTATCAAAATATGTTCAGACAGCGTATGAAACTAGGCGATAGAGGACTATTAAATATGTTATACAAATTTTATATACTATTTTTTATTTTTGCTGATAGTTATTAAGTAATTATTATTATAATATATTTTAAAAAAAATATCACTGATATTTAAATTTTTAATCAATGAATTGGATATTCTGAAGATTATTGAGGAATTAATTAAATTGAAAAGGAAAAATTAAAGCTATTTTTTTAAGAAATTATGGATAAATAGTGGATTAAGCAATTTGGCGCTTATTATCGAGTTTATAATTAAGGTTTTATATTATAGTCAGGTGTACCATTAATACGCTTTTATAAAACTCTTTAAGAACAATTTAATATTAAATTCTTCTATTTAAAATGAATAGAAATTAATGGAACCTAAATAGTATTTGAATTTCACGGGAAAGTGTTAAACAATTTGACAAATCGATGGTGTGATACCACTATAGCATGAAGGTCATGTGTTTGATATTACTACCTTTATTACATATAATTATTATCAGCTATCATACATTCATTATAGTAAGACAGTACTAGAGAGAACATTCTAAAATTTCAAATTACCAATCAAAAACCAACAATATTATAATTTTTAACGCACTTAAACTGCTAGATACATTTGGTTCTAGAGATAGAAGTTGTGTTAATTTGCGTTGGGTTTTGTCGTCGTCCCACGTCTGTGTGGCTGGCTCGCCTGTAAATGAGGATCCTTGGAGACAAAGTTTCGAAGTGCGAGAAGTGCCTTTTGAAGGGTGAATTTCCCATGACGGGGAACATAGTCAGGTTGGTGTTTTTGAAAAAGGGTGACAAGTCTACTATACGGACGACACGATGGTGGTGGTGGAAGGCGCCTCGACCGAGGAGGCTGGATCTCGTGCGAACTACGTGCTAAGCGTAGTCACTGTCTGGGTCCAACAGAAGAGGAGTGGACTTAGCCTCGCCCAATACAAGAACTAAATGGTTCTGTTCATGAGCAGAATCAAATACACTCCTCCACGGCTCGCTGTTCTGGGGTGGAGATCCTGTTTAAATACTCCATGACTTATTTGGACCTGGTCATATACAAACGTCTGAAGATCGGCCTGAGTATTTTTGGAGATTTCTCCTAATTATAGGGAATGAAGGAGAATTTTTCAAATTTGAGGGTAATATTTTCGACTAAATACAATTTTTGATATTTTGACGTATTGTTGAAAGAAATCGGTGAGAGTTAAGAAAAAGTGGTAACAGACAAAAAAAAAATAAGAAAAAAAGAAACATCTCAGTAAAATTAATACCTTCTCAGATTTACATCGAAGCAAAAAGAACTTTTTATATATCAAATCAGCTATCAGATTATGTGTTTAATGCTGCTACAAACTGTTTAATGCGTTCTTGTAATTCAATAAATATTATTGTAAAATTAATGCATATGATTCATTTTGCTATATTAAACATTTGATTTCTAATATTTTGCTTATAACTTAAGTATTATTTTTTAGCATTTTTGTGTTATTATTTTAGTTTTATACTTTTTTAGTACATCATTTATTGATGTTTACGAAATTTAATATCTAATTACATCAAATTACACTCGATCTAGTTATCATTTTATTTAAATTGGGTTTTTAACCATACAGTAAATTAAATAAAAACCCAGCACAGGGGAGCCGCGGCACAGTGGTGACGTGGCCTAGTTGGATCAAGTATAATAATATCTGACAGTGATTAAAATCCCTATAAAAAAAAAACGCTTCGATGCAAATCTTTAGATAGTGATTAATTTTTAAAAATTTGTGGATTATTCCAAAAGCTACATGATCTACTATTTTCTTATTAATATCTTAAATTAAAAAGGGATTATTAAAAAAAATTATTTCTCATAAAAAAGTTGTGTTGATCCATACACTTTTCAATAAGTTATAGTATTAAAAAGTTAAAAATGTAAAATAAAAAATTGAGAATTTTCACACAAAAATAACATTCGGTAGCCATTTTCATATTAGCTTTAATTTAATATATATATATATATATAAGTGTCAGTATTTCCGGAACACTTTCAAAATTTATGTTGAAAAAGTTGTCATTTTTAATCTCCCCCTGTGGGCAGATAAAGGGTTAAATTTATAAAAATAATATACCAAATGTTAAGTGAAGACATCAAGCATCTATAAAAAAAAAAATTATATTGATATGTTTTTTTTAAAAAAGTTACGGCAGTTTTTAGTAAAAAAAATTGAAAAAATTTCGAAAATTAGCGATTTTTAAATTTGTAATTTTTTTGGAGGTTTCCCCCATTTACGGGAAACGAGGGAAATTTTTTCAATTTTTAAGGGTAATGTCTTCGACTAGATACGATTTATGATCTTTTGACGTAACGTTGAAAGAAATCCGTTCGGTGAGAGCTGAGAAAAAGTGGTAACAGACACAAAAAAAAAAACACATCATAGTAAAACCAATACCTTCTCAGCTTCGCATCAAAGCTAAAATACAAATTATTGTAAAATTCAACAATTTTGCATCGAAAAGTTTTTTATAATAGTGATGTAAATCAATGCCAGATATCAACTAAACTATTCCCTATTATGCCGCGTTCCCACTATGCTCTGTCATAACTGTACTAGAATTTTTATATTTAAATATAAAATTTTAAAATTATATTAAATTTAGAAATACTTACTCGGGTATATTTGGATTTAAAAATTGTTCAAAGCCAATATTTTTATACCAAATTTCTATGGTTTGATTGTAAAATAAATTAAGTTTACTACATATTAAATAGACTAAGTAAGAGTCATTTTCATTAGAGAATTCCTTAATTTGAATTGTCGTCCAATCAGTTTTTGTATAGGTGATGATGATATTACTATTTTGAAAGAGATTGTTTACTTTTCCTAATGCTTCTGTATAGAATTCATTTAAATTCTTAAAATCCGTTTCACAGTCTTTAAGATTTGGTAAGCTATTGAGATCTAAATTTTTGGTCTCTGATATTTTTTGTAAGACATACTGTAGAAAAAAATCAATTTCATCAATTATTACATTTGTCACAATGGATCCTCTAAATAAATATCGTACATCTATGTAGCTTAAAAACTTCATAGCGTTGTAAAGATTTTCAAACATAATCTTCGAATTTTTCACTTCTTCTACTAGTAATGTGACACAACTAATAAAATTTTCTGATAAATTTTTATCTTGAAATTGCTTACATTTATGGAGGATAATGTCTATGTCATCGAGGAATTTTTTCAGTATTTCAGTATATTTGAAATTGAGTATACTTATGATATAAGAATATACACTTTTGAAGAATTGCATAGACTTGTATATATTGCAAGCTTCTTTTATTCTAATAATATTGTTTGAATCTTGTACTAATTCTAAATTTTGTATTTCATTCAATTTAATATTTGATTGAATGTAATGCACCACATATTTTATGTAATTTTTATAATCCTCATGATGATTTTTAAAATTTACTCCTTCAATTGGTTTCATCACCATAAAGAAAATTGATATTAAAATCAAGATACAAAATGCCATTTAAAAATTCTACGAATATAAAATTTCTTATTTAAAACTTATAGATATTAAAATGAACTAATGCAAATGAATTCAATATTATATCATTGACTTATTAGTAATAAAATTTGTATAAACAATATAAATCTTTTTTTAACACTTTTTAAAACTAATGTATAGATGTTTTTATTTTTCAAGTAATTTATTCTTTTATCAGTTATTAATTATTTCTTAGAATCATCCTTAAAAAAATGTAAACTTTTTTCTTTTAATGACAATATGCAATTAGCTTAAAATAGGTAATAATCTAGTTAGGAAAATGACTGATAAATAACAACTTTTTGACTAACACTTCGGAAGTTATTGACATTTTTAAAATTGAGTGGTATGGGAAATATGGTTTAAAAATATCCAATGATATAAATAATCATACTTACACCTTAACCCTAAGTCTATATTTTAAAATAGTCATTACATTCTAAATTTTGGTCAAAAGTTTTTACCTATCTGTAATTTTCTTAATTAAGAAAATTTTTTACAGAATTTATATATATTTATGTTGCTATTAAATAAAATAACGTCGTTGCTCTTTTAATTTATAAGGAATGATGCTAAAAATAAATAAATTATTACATTTTTTCTCATTATAGTTTTTATTTTCTTCGAATAATTAAGTGGATTATGATAAATGAATCACACTGTATGATTCAAACGTTATTATTTAAATCTATATTTTAATTAAAAATATTTCGTACTTTGTAATGAAATATAATCTATGGATATTTGAATTAAATTAATTTTATTTTATATTATTAAAACAAATTAAAAAGATAACACTTGTGTAATATTTATAACCAGACCATTAAATATGATTTAATATATCCTATTGAACAATAAAATAATTTAACGTCATTAAAGCATTTATTTGATCAGTTAATTATAAAATCTTTGTATAATTTTATTTATTTAAATGTGGGTAGTAATATCCAAGTAAAAAAAAAATAATAAATGAATAAAATATTTAAAAATTGTCATCGCTTAAAGAAAATTACTTTGTTTAAAAATTGAGCTACTGTTAATGCCCCCAATTAATTACTATTTTATTATATTACCTCACATAAATTTATTTTTGTTATCTATAAAAAAAAATGTGTATTTTTAGTTGTTTCTAAACAAATGGCTACAATTATACTTATGTGTATGTGATGTAACATATTTTGATACATGTAATATCTAATATATTTACTCAACAATTGATTAAATACTTATTTATTGAACAAGTTCGCAACACACTATTTTAAATTTGGAATTCAAGAATAGACTAATATTTTCATTGCTATATAAATATTCAAGTAATCGACAGTAATTGTCATTTTAGTATTAAAACTTTTAATATTAATTTGTATAAAAAACAAATTTTATAAAATGATGCCGTTTTACAATCATACATTTTTTAGTGGTGTGTTATAAGCTTGAGGCTAATTAAAATCTGTATACTACTTTGGAAAAATAAGTTTTTTCTAAGTTTCCCTAAGTAATAAAATACTTTAATTCATTAGATATTAAGTAATTAACATCATATTATCTTGATATTTTTACTAAATTTTAATAAATAGCTCTATATTTATAATACTCAAGTATGGTAAATTACAAATAGTATATAAAATGTATTAATTTTTAGTTATCTGTTACGATGAGTTTAATGTGCAAAATTGGTAGATATTGTTTTGTAATATTATTAACAGAATTTTGTTGCCCGTCAATACTTATATGATAATTTCCTGGCTTATTTGGAGCTCTTCTGAAATTCAACACCCAATTATTATTAGTGTCTTTTTTTATCTTAAAAAGTACTTCATTTCGATCCGTGGGAACGACAAAATAGTTATAATTGTACTGCTGCAATCATTAAAAAATAATTTAATTATATGTACAAATATGATATCATAACTTTATATTATTATTATTACTTTTAATGATGATAACAATTTCAGTATCTGTGTTTTTCGTTTTGCATTTGATAATTTTATCTTAATAGTTTTATGTATTCCATTGTCTTGATGATGTCTGAATTTATATTTTATCTAATATATATATATATATATATATATATTATATTAGGGTAGTTCTTATTTGATCAACTTTAAAAATTCGAATGAGAGAACCCCACATTTTGTTTTATGTAGTAAATAAAAATATTTTGTAAAATTTGAGTATTCTAGGTCAACTCTTACACGTGCCTCAAAGGGGTTGAAAAATGACAAAAAGGTGTAAAAATATTATATTTTTACACCTTGAATAGTGAAAGAGTTGACCTAGAATACTCAATTTTTACAAAACATTTTTATTTACTACATAAAACAAAATGTGGGATTCTCTCATTCGATTTTTTAAAGTTGATCAAATAAGGAGTACTTTAATATATATTTATTAAATATAAGGTATGGAGTAAATAAAATCAATTGTTAGAATAAATATAAGTTCATTTAATTAATATAACGAATCTATTTAACCAATAGAAAGGAATTCCAAAATGATACTATACTTGGGAAATTATAGGAAATATATTTAAGTAATCTTAATATAGTTGAGATATAGAAGGTATTCTTTTATCGAGACACGCTCAATTACTTTAAAAATAAATAGAATTTCGTAAAAAGTGTTTTAACTTTTTAGTTACATAAATTTTTCAAAAAATCAATTGTCAAGCATTTTTTGGTGCATTCCTAATACCTTATAAAAATCATAATCATCATCTTATTAGTCTTTATACCTTTAACTTAATAAAACAAAAATTTGTGTTGATCTATACATTATTCAAAAAGTTATAGCAATTCAAATTTGAAATTTTATAAATGAAAATCGAAAATTTTAACACAAAAATAGCATTTTTTAAACTACAGCAGCTATTTGCACGTAGTAAATAAGTTTTCGGGACAATTTTTTTTTTATTTTATAATGTAACATAAGCTTTCATTTGGTATATGTTTTAATGACGCAGTATTTCCGGAACATTTTAAAAGTAAAGTCAAAAATAGATTAAAAAAAAAAAAATGATATCAAATGAAAGGAAAATATTTAAAGTTTCAATGTAAAAATACTCAGCACGGTGGGGACGTGACATAGTTGGGTCAAGTATAGATGATATCTGACAGTGATTGAAATCACTTTCATAAGAAACACAACGATGCAAGATCTGTAGATAGTGTTTAATTTTAAGAAATTGGTGGATAATTAAAAAAGTAACACCAACTCCTATTTTCTTAATTATACCCTAATTAGTAGTTTTTATATTCAGAAGTATACTATATGAATAATTATATATTATAGCAATTAAATATAGTATAAAATTGTTATTTAATAATTTAGTATTGTAATTTTTACTAAAAAATTGTAAAGTATTTATTACTTTTATGGCAAACGTATATAAAAGATAACTAAGAGAATACTTAAAAAAAAAATTGTGAACTAGGTATGATTTGTGATGTTTTGACGTATCGTTGATAGAAATCAGTTCACTGAGAGCTTAGAATAAGTGGTAACAGACATAAAAAAAAAAAAACACATCATGGTAAAATTGATACCTTAAAAAAAATAAAAATTAAAAAAATTTTAAAAAAATTTAAAAAAAACACATTATAATAAAATTAATTCATTCTCAGTTTCGCATCGAAGCTAAAGTTATCAAATGAAGAAAAGGACTGGTCGATAACATAAGATCATCATAAATTGTATAACAACTTATGGACAATGTAAAAATATAAACTGGTGGTGAGGCATGAGTATGGCTATTTTTATTATTAGACATTTTCTCTTACCACTTAGGTATAAAATTGTCATCTGAAAAATTAAGACTTCTGAAGTCGTTGTCAAAAAGTTAATATAGATTAATTATTTTCTTAATAATATAGTTTTCTGTTTTATAAGCTAGTTGTTTAGTCTGTGAGATATCGCAACAAGAATTAATATTCTAATTATTGTCAACGTTTCGGTTTCCATCGCCGCGAACACGACCTTAACTGGTATTACTGTTAAGGAAGTGCACAATAGTTATGAACTGCATCTTTCGGTTACTAGAGTGTCTTCATAGTTGACGTTGTAACACATTTATATGTCTTTGTCGGTTATTAAATTTGTTTTATATTATTATTATATACGTTATTCATTGTTTGTTTAATAAGTCAGTCACCTATCATTAATTTATCTTTGGTTTAGATAAGCTAACTTTTGCCCCCATGGCTGTTAGGGCTTCAACTCCTATAGAAACATGTGTAGCCCGCATAGATGAGTTACACTTTTTAGGGAGAGGAGAAAATAAAACAATTTGGTAATGAAGTGTCCTACTTGGTCTATTATCCAAAATTATGAATTAGCTCCCACACACAAATTTTTCAAACACATCCATGCTTTAAGGTATAAGATGAATCAAATATGTACTTAATAATTGATAAATCAAGAAATATATGTAACTAAAAAATGCTAAAAAATATAATCTTTAAATATGAGAAAAAGGTACACCTTTATATGAGTATATTTAACTATATTACATTTATTAAAACTTAATATAAAAATGAGTGTACTAATTAATTTAAGAAATAATTAACTCTTATTGTAACGTAAAGTTGAGTCACGATGATATGACAAATTAACCAACGAAAAAATTATTATATCAAAATTATTGCAACAACTTTTAAGTACACAGAGTGGTTATGTATAATAATGTTTGTAACACAATAAATAATTATTCTTAATTTGTTATTGTCCCATAAAAAATGTTTATCAGAGAAGGGTTAATAAATTTTAGATAATAAAAAATATGCGTTTAAAGTAGTCTGAACATACAAAAATAGTTTAGAAAAAAAAATTATAGCAAAACGATTATTGGACCAAAAGTCATTGCATTTGTCATATCTTCCTGATCGACTTAGTTTTTTTAAAGTTATTATTAATTGTTTCTCTAAGAATTGTCAAACCAAATTTACAAAGGTAAACGTGACAATTTCTAGATGAGTCAAATCATTTGAACATTCATTGATTATAATTAATTATGTTCATTTATTTAAATAAAAACTTATCAATATCTGACTAAATAACCTACTCTATTGTTTTTTGAATCAATTTTCCAATTGTTACTATCGACTGTCATGTTAACAGTTCTTTTATGACGAAATCTACCTTCTCCATTGATCTATATAACAATAAAAATGAATTAAATCTACGCTATAACATAAATGTCAGAAAATTATTTATAATTTTTTAAAATACATTAAAAAAATACCTTGCAAGAGAAACATCCTTCAGTGGATATAACTTTACCTCCAGAACTTTTGTGGATCAATTCGGGTTCTATTGGAAATGTGGGTATTTCACCTAAATCTGGAGGGCCTACAAATGAATTACTGGTATGCGGATTGGCGGTTGATAAACAATGACCCTTTAAAAATTTGTTCATTAATTATTAAGTTAGACTAATTTTGGCTGGTGTTAAACCAACAATCTGATTGAAAAGCGAAAAAAATGTATTTTAATTGTATGTATATTACAAATAAATACAATTTTTTAGTTATTTAAATATTACTTTCATGATCTCTTACCTGGCCAATACGCTGATATCCTGCTGGGCATCCACATAAAAATGCATTTTGTCCCATTGGCGTGCAACCATAAGCACATGGACTGCCGTAACAACCATTATAATTATTACCACCTGTACCAATAATTAATTCATTTTGACCAATTTTTCCCCCATGCTAAAAATATAGATAAATTGTTTAAATAAATAATTAAAATTATTATGTAAGGGTCATTATAAAATATAAAAAAATATAATTCTTAAATGTTTTACTTGAAAAAGAGGTCTATTTCCACAGCCCTGAAACGTAGGATCAATAACTTGGCCATTAAAGCATACGCATTGGTAACTTCCAATGGTATTTATACAATTCAAACTTAAATCACATGGCGACTCTAAACATTCATTAATATCAATGCATTCGCCACGATTACTCAGTTTTTGAAAACCTTGAGGACATCCACAATTTTGATTAGACGTTCCGTTTTGCATATTCTTAACAAAATTTTAGAAAATAAATAATATTAATAAGTATTATCAAAATTAAAATACGATGAACAAAGATATATTTATACTATATTGTTCTTTGTTTTTACTGTTCTATTATAACTAAAGTCATAGGAGTAATTTGATCTATTTAAGCATCAAATAAAGTTGTTTAAATCTTGAACTGCATTTGTTTTCTATATAATTATTTAAATTATTGTTTTGACATATTAAATTAGCATACTTAGATATTATTTGCTTAAGGTTATACTTTTTATTATTTATTATACTTAAATAACAATTATAATCATTTGTCTTAAAAGTAAAATAATATAAAAGATCAGAGGCATACGCAAGGTTTTATCTTGCAAAGGATAAGTGTAAGACATTTTTCCTACCTTACCAAATACATCTTTTCTATAAAAACCACTAATTTATTTTTATCATGGAGTAATTCTATCACATATATCACCCTCCATGAGAATTTCCAAGTAAAATGATATCTTTGAAAATAAAAAAATACTACTATTTTCAAATACTTCGTATTTAAATAATTTTACCAGGCGATTTGGACAACCAATAAAAGTATCACAATCTAGACCGATACAATCTGTCTGATTGTTTTTACTATGCTTAGGATCAATACAACGATTATTAGTAGGATCTAATTTGTAAGGTTTTGGACATGTACATCGATAGCTTCCCAACGTATTTACACAACTTCCTGGGGGTACACAAATACTTCGATCTTGATGACATTCATTGATATCTAATAGTAAAATTTATATTAATTTAAATAATTAAGAAACACCTAAAATAATATTAACAAAAATATTATTTTTATATAATATAATATAAATACTTTTTTACTGCATTTATATAAATAATATATTATAAATATTAAACTTCATTATTCAATAAAATTAAATATTATTTAAGTATTTAATAATTTATTTGGAAAAATGTTATTTGGTTGTTTGCATTTATTACATTCACTTAGGATGTTATATTTTATATTACAACTTTTACTTATTCAGTCTTAACATAAGGTGGATAAGTCAACATAATACATATATTAAATGCTGTCTACTGATTAATAGTAAAATATAGCTGTTATATAGAATAAATTAATAATATTGTTGGATATCAGCACACTATATATAAATTTAAGCTCTATTTTTATCGTATTAATTTTAACTTTTATAAATAAACCATGAAAAATGAAAATTTTATTAAATAGTATCATATTAAATGTACCTAAACAGTTATCACCAGACTGTCGATATCCAGGATTACATCCACATTTATATGATCCATAAGTATTAATGCATAATTGTTGACAAATATGTTGTCCCGTTGAACATTCGTCTAAATCCCGACAAGTGCTATTATCTGGATTTAATATGAATCCATTTGTACATCCACAAGAATAACCCCCATCAAAATTTTGGCAAGACATTTCACAAGGTGTTGGATTAAGAAGACACTCATTTACATCTATTAGTAAAAATAAATAGTTATATCATAAACTTGCGATCAAAATCAAGAACTGCAAAAGTACATTTGATGTTTTTATTTATCGAATACACATGGGTCATTTTTATATAACTTATTTCAAACTAAATATTTAATCAAATACTTGTTAATTTTATAAATAAAAAACGTACCATTACAATGCGTTCCAGTATAATCAACTTTATAGGCTTTATTGCAAATACATCGATATGAGCCCAACGTATTTACACATTTGCCATTTCTGCATAAATCTGGCAATATTTCACATTCATTTATATCTAAAAAATAAATAAAATTATTATAGTCATCAGAAAGAAGTTGATAATAATGAAAATAACTCATATTCTAATTAACTTCTTTCGCTAATCAAATCAAAGTAACCGTAGTTAACTTTAACATAACTAATTCTATGTCTTGACCAATATCTATTTTAATTACGTAAGCATTACCTTACGTTTCACTTAAAAAAATAAAAGTTTAGGAAATTAATATTATTAATGTATACAAACCACTTGGAGTAAAATGGTCTAACTCAACATTACCTTCTGTCCATCATCCTACTGTAATTATAGGATATTTATATAGCCATCATTACCTTTGGGGTTGCAATAATAACAATCTCAATGGTGAGTTAATTCTCGTATGACTGAATAGAGAGGACGTATTCCTACTATTTGATGCTAATGGCACTTTTAGGTCCGGAAAATGGCAGAGATACTACAACCCGAACCTCTGTTTTGTGACTAGAGATGTATATAGACAACCACTTTATACAAACTTAAAAGTTCTTAACGACTTTCCACGTAGCCAGCATATACCTGTCATTGCTTGTACTGGAATTCAAATATCTATTACCAAATCGATACAACAACCCCGATGGAACTTCCAAAAAGCTAATTGGGAAGATAACATCAGATGAATAAAACCTGAATTAATCAATTATGGTCGCTTAAGAATTCAAGTAAAAAGGCCTGGAAACTTATACAGCGCATCGACCCAATCACAAAATGGAAGATTCTTATTATAGACATCCAGTCAGAAAACTTTACAAACCGCATTATTGACATCACCAAAGCTGTTATAGATAAGAATCTAGAAGAAAACCCCTATATAAATCACGAATTAGAAAGAGCACAATAGAAGAAAGATCACCCATAAGAACAACTTATGTTGCAACCCCCCGGATTTAATCTCCCCAAAAAACAATGGATAGCCCTAAATAGACTCAGAACAGGACATGGACACTCTGGACTCATGTTACATCGATAGGGATTAAGGCGCACCACATTATGTGTAAATGGTTTGAAGAATTAGATATTAATATATTACCACCATATTCAACGACCTACGTTACCCACCTAGATTATTGTATTGTACTAGTATTATCTAAATGTTAAATCCTTTTATTCAATTATTATTTATCTATTATTATTATTATTTGTTCATACCACAATTAATTTTATAATTTATTTTGTATTTCTAATGTGTGTTAATAACGTTATACGAATATATATACATTACCTTGGCCATCTATAGTATAACCTGATTCCAAACAAAGTTTTCGAAAGAGTTCTGATGATGGTGAAGGGCATAATTGACACTGGGGACCCCAAGCCGCAGCCATAGAACAACAACAATCAGCTTTTGTTACAGTTTTATAAGAAATATTCAATTCCCCTTGGCTACATTTACCATTTATTAATTGTTTGTAACATAAACCAACTCTAGAGTCTAAATAAAAAAAAACTTTTAACTTATTGTTTAGAATATTGTCAAAATTTTCAAACAATATTCATTGAGTTTAATAATTCGGTAAAGTTAAAAGTTCTCAACAAATTTGTACAAGAAATATTTTTAACATTTGATATAAGAATAATCACTTAATTTAAGTAAATTTACTGCATTTCTATTTTTATATTTACTTACCTACGCATTGTTTTCCATCATAACTACTTTTGAAACCATCAAAACAATCACATTTGTAAGAACCTGGTACATTTAAACAAAATCCATTTTGGCATATATTTGGATTTTCTTTGCATTCATTAATATCTTTACATTCATCACTACTAGATTGTTTATAGCCTTCAGGGCAAATACATGAAAATGATCCTATAAGATTCTTACAAGCAAATTTACAATTATTTGCTGGAGTGACACACTCGTCCACATCTGTAAAAAAATATTTTATGATTTTATTACTGTTAAAGTCGATTTGCAAAGAAATACTAGTATAAAAAATTAAACATTAGTATACTTATATATTAAATATTAAAATACATTACGCTAAAAAAAAATAGGAAATTTTTAAAATTATTTGATACCTTGACAATGTCTACCATCAGGAGCTAAAGCATAACCGTATGGACAAATACATCTAAATGATCCAGGTACATTGTGACAACGAAAAGCGCATTGATTAGCCATTTCTAAACATTCATTTATGTCTTCACAAACCTTACAATAAAGCATTTTATTTTAGAATAAAGTACAATTAGAAAATAGTGAATTATAATAAATTAATACTGTGTATAATTATTATAATCTATTGTTTATTTCAATAACTTACTTGAGTAGGACCAGGAGCAAACCCATCTGCACATATGCATTCAAAGCCTCCTTGAAGATTTGTACATGTTCCATTCCCGCATATGTTAACATTTATTTTACACTCATTTTCATCTACGCATTGTTTTCCAGTAGAATCTAAAATGTACCCTACAGGACATTCACAGCGATATGATCCATCAGTATTTATACATTCTCCACCATCGCATGGATTGTTCATAAAATCACACTCGTTTAAATCTTCACCTTTATCACCTCGTCCAATACCTTCGGGGCAAAGTTTAACAAAAGCGTCTAAAAGAATCAAACAACGTGTACTGTTGAGTTTATTATATATTATACTGCAGAAAATTGAATTTACCACTTCCTGATTGAGGACAAGCTTTACAAAGTTTACCCCAACCAGAACCTGCTGAACAGCAGCACTCCTTTTCAGTAATTTTCTGTCTTCTTGGGGCCAAACAATTACCTATATATTTTGAAACGAGTAATTAGTTAAAAACCGTAATAAGAAACTCAAACAACTCTATAACAAAACAACATCCAATAAGAATAGAACCAATTCTTTTTTTTTTTTAATAGAATTGGTTTTTATCCTATGAAATATGCAAAAAAGCTAGCAGTATTCAAAAAATAGTGTTAACCTGTTAAAAACGAATCGTAACAGTAGTCTTGTCTAGTATCAATACATTTCATTCCAGATGAGCTGAGTACGAAACCATCAGGACAATCGCATATTACTCCGCCGTCTGAATTGATACATGTCCCCCCATCACATATTCCAGGAAGTTCTTTACATTCATTCACATCTAAAAAAAGTTTTAAAAAATGTATTAGATACTAAGTGATTGAATTATAATTAACTTTTAAATTTGCATGCTTACCAAGACATGAATTTTTAGCTGCTGATAATCGGTATCCTAGAGGACATGAACACAAAAATGAACCCATGAGATTTTGACATCTTCCTGGTGAAGTACAAGTACCAGATATCTAAATATTAAATATTAAAAAACTCCCTTAATTTGAGATATTTTTTTTTTATAATATGTAATGCAGGGGCGTCATTTGGGGAGGGTCAAAGTGTGCAGCCGCATCCCTTACTTTAAAAACAATCCCAATTGGCCTGCATTAATAATGCACCAATTTTTTATACATTAATACAAATTTTAAAAACATTGTATTATCATGGTTCAATAAATAAATATTCTGATAACAATTAATTAAGTAAACAATAAATATATCATACTGAACTATTAATATTCGTACCGGACGTAAGATGTTGATATTAATATTCATGTTCGTAATATTTTTAGCTTCGATGCGAAGCTGAGAAGGTATTAATTTTAACGTGATGTGTTTATTTATTTATTTTTTTTTTTTGTGCCTTTTACCACTTTTTCTCAGCTCTCACCGAAACGATTTCTTTCAATGATACGCCATAAGATCACAAATCGTATCTAGTCGAAGACGTTACCCTCAAAAATTGAAAAAATTTCCCTCGTTCCCCGTAAATGAGGGAAAGCTCCAAAAAAATTACAAATTTAAAAATCGCTAATTTTCGAAATTATTTCAATTTTTTTTACTTAAAACTGCCATAACTTTTTCAAAAATGAACAAATCAATATAATTATTTTTTTATAAATTTAACCCTTTACCAGCCCACAGGGGGCTGGTAAAGGCTGGTAAATTGTCATTCAAAATGACATTTTATTCACAAAAAATTAACTAGCTATTTTTGTGTTAAAATTCTCGATTTTATTATTTATATTTTTAACTTTATAATGCTATAACTTATTGAAAAGTGTATGGATCAACACAATTTTTTTATGAGAAAAAATTTTTTAATAATTCCTTTTTCATTTAGGATATTAATAAAAAAATAGCAGATCTTGTAGCTTTTGGAATAATCCACCAATTTTTTAAAATTAAACACTATACAGATTTGCATCGAAGCGTTTTTATGATAGTGATTTTAATCACTGTCAGATATTATCTATACTTGACCCAACTATGCCACGACCCCACTGTGCTGGGTTTTTTATTTTAATTTTAGCTTAAATTGCTTTCATTATACAATATTCTTTTTTAAATCCTACGATGGTCCAACAATACATTGTCTCGCCCAGTAGGTTGGCGACCCTTTCTTTTTGTATTTTTTAATGCGCCACGAAAGTTCCAAATTTTCCGTTGTGACTAATTCATTCTTTTTTTATGATATTTGTAACCTTTCACTTTTTCTAAAATATACTTTTTTATGATTTCTACCCTGAACATTGTATACATATAAATACGTCGATGCTTCTAGCACAACCAGTTACCATTAGAAAATACATTTAAATATAGAACAACTAATTATATATATATATATATTAGCTTCAATGCGAAGCTGAGAAGGTATTAATTTTACTATGATGTGTTTTTTTTTTTATTTTTTTTTATTTGTGTCTGTGAACGCTCAATCGCAGCGCTCGCTGGACCGATTTTGATGAATAATATGTCAAAAGATTACAAATTGTATTTAATTGAAGAAATTACCCTCAAAAATTGAATAAATTTTACTCGTTCCCGGTAAATAGGGGAAATCTTCAAAAAAATTACAAATTTAAAAAACGCTAATTTTCAAAAAATTTTAAAAAATACTTAAAACTGCTATAAGTTTTTCAAAAATGATTTATCTCAACGATACGGTAAAAGATAACAAATCATATCTAGTTGAATACATTACCTCTAAAAATTAAAAAAAAATTCCTTCTTCAAAGCGCTCGTTCCCCGTAAATGATGGAGATCCCCCAAAAAATTACGATTTTTAAAATCAGTAAATTTCTTTACTTTTTTTTCCTAAAAATTGTATTAACTTATTGAAAAATGAATATCAACAAATTAAATTTTTTTATATTTTAACCTTAAGTAATTCCTTATATTTGAAAAAATCTTTTTGAAAATCAAACCCTATATCTGCCCACAAGAAATGATTCAAAATAGAAACTTCTTCACAAAACACAACTTAACTTTTGCAAAAGTCCCGGAAATATGTACTATAAATTAAAAAATAAAAAATATATTGTTACGATGACCTATCTTCTTTATGCAAATGGCTGCAGTAGTTAAGAAGCATGTTATTTTTGTGTTCAAATTTTATTTATAAGGGTTTGTCATAGTAATGAGTCCAACAATTTTTATAAAAGTCACATAAATCTAACTAACATTCAATATAAATCTTCTTCTTCTACTTCTTCTTCTTCCTCACCTTAATCCCAACTACATAAGAACACAATCTTCCAAATTATCTACACTCATATCGCATTCAATAGCATCCCTCCATCTCTTTTTTGGTCTTCATTCAACATTCATTTCTATAACTGTTCTTACAGCTTCCGATTCTTCTCTCCTCATAACCGACCAAACCATCTAAGTCTATTTTCTCTCATCTTATCCACGATTGACGCTACACCTACTATATGCTATTTCTTTATCCTATCTTTTCTAGTCACTCCACTCATCCATCTAAGCATTCTCATCTCTGCTACACTCATTCTCTGCTCTACTTTCTTATCAACCGCCCAACACTCTGAACCATACATCATAGCTGGTCTCACTTCAGACTTCAGTCTTGTAGGATTTAACTTTCAGCCTCATTGGAATTCTTTTATTGCATAAAAAACCAGACGCATCTCTCCGCTTGAACCACTCGCATTTTCCTATGTCTATATCCTCGTAAATACCACCGCTCTTTTTCACAACAGATCCTAAATACTTTCCACCTCTCCTATCACGCCCTTGCCTATCGTCACTGATCTCCTCATTTCACCTACCTCGTGTTCTACTTTATCAAACTCGTACTCCATATACTCTGTCTTACTTTTACTTAATCTTAAACCCTTTTCTTCAATAGCTGATCTCCACACCTCTAGCCTTTGATTAATTTTCTTCCTATTTTCTGCTATTAGCACTATATCGTCAGCAAAAAACATGCACCATTGCACCTCTTCTTGTATTTCTCTAGTAATTTCATCCATCACCATATAGAATAAATAAGGGCTTAAAGTAGAACCTTGGTGCACTCCTACTCTTACCCAAATACCTTCTGATACTCTTCCTACGCTTTTACCCTGGTACAAGTGCTATCATACATATATTCTATTATATTAAAATTTAATATTATTTAAAAAATTTAGAATTTTTAAAATCAGTAAAACAAAATTTTTTTTATGTAAATACCTCAGATACTTTCCTTTCATTTTATAAAAATTATTTGAAAATCTGACCCTATATCTAATATAAGTTTAAAAAAATTTGTCAAGACACCTTGTCTTCTATGTTCTCTATATCCCATACAAAGTAAAAAAAAATTGTTATTTTTATGTAAGAAATCATCTCTTTCGTGTTGTTATAATTTCTATTCTAATCTTTTCCATTTATTCGATATTGTATATTTAAAAAAATAATTATAAGTAGTTAAAAGTAATTCGATAGTCTGACACTACGGGACCGCGGGGGTGTCGGATTACCAAAGGTTGGCTTTAATTAATTTAATTTGCAGTGTATAAGTTTGAAAATCTAGTTAACGATGTATTTTTATGTAATATTTGACTAGAAAAGATTCAAAATAATAATGTCAGGCTTTAGTTTTCCACCTCTCTTATCACGCCCTTGCCTATTGTCACTGATCACCTCTTTTCATCTACCTCGTATTCTCCTTTAACAAACTCGCACTCTATATACTCTGTCTTACTTCTACTTAAAGAAGAATAATTTACTTAAGTAGGTATATATGTTTTTATATGGCCTGATGAAATTTTAAAATGGCCTACTTGAAATCTCGCACACCCAAAAAAAAACAAATGAAATGATGCCCCTGATTTTATATAATGTATTTTTAAGTATATGATATTAAATTATTGTATATACAGAATATCTTATACCTAACTGACAACTCTAATAACTATTAATACAACTACGTAGTAAGAAGGCAATAATTATTTTTTTAAAAATTCCTACAAAATAGTAATTAAATCAAAAGTTATAAGTGTTATCAGATCTGAAACAACTGTTTATAGCTGTTTCATTAAACATAGAAAACTCATATTCTTGGAAACGATAAAAAATATTAAATTTTTCTAAAGAAAAACATTGTTTAATTAAAACAAAAAAAAACTCTACAATAAATTATTATAGAGTTATTGTTATCCTTTCAAGGATAAAATAATTGAACTTTTATTTTATTTAATGAGAATCCCTATCTTTAGTTTTATAATGCGAAAAAAATATCGAACAATTTTATTCTTATAACTTTTTTATTCTATGAATCATTCTTCTATTATTTGTTGTTTAAGTTTAGCGAATTTTACCTCAGGTGTTATAAAAACTAAAATAATGAAAAAATGTATATTTAAATCAAAATTTAAAAAACATTTTACAACACAAACATTTGATCGGATAAAAAATTTATAGAAACAAAATATTTCGACATTTTTTTCTATCACATTTTGAAACTAAAAATAGGCGTTCCCGTTAAAGACATTTAAGTTTATATTATTTATCCTTGATGGAGTGAAAACATATGTATTCCACTGCTTATTATTGTAAAGTTTTTTGAATCAAACAACATTTCCTTTCACTTATATTAAAGATTTTCATTAGTTTTCAAGAAAATAATTGTCTTATCTTTAATGATTCATAATTAATTTTATTATTAATATTTTTGATAAATTTGTGTTTTTTTTTATTAAAAATTTTCATGATTATTACTTCTGTACACTCGTCAATATCTCTACAATGTTGTCCATCTAGAGATAAAATATATCCTGATGTACATTCACAACTAAATCTGCCGATTGTATTTCGGCAGCGACCGTTTCGACATAAAAATGGCATCATTCTACATTCATCTATATCTAAAATTAATTAATATTGGTATTAAAATGGAAACTTTAGATTATTCTTTTATAATATGGTTAATATTAATTTTATCTGCAGTTTGAAATTAAATTACCGATGCAATCATTATTACGACTTAATTTGAATCCTTCGAAACAATTACATTTGAATGAGCCAATAGTATTCAAACAGGTACCGTTATTACAGACATTAGGATGTCTTTTGCATTCATCTACATCTATACAAGAATCGTGATTAGTTGTCAAACCATAGCCATTATGACAACTACATTGAAAACTTCCGTCTAAATTTGAACATTCTCCATTTTGACAAATTCCATCACGTTCGTAACATTCGTCAATATCTTTTTATAGTAAAAAAAAAATTATTATTTTTAAAGGAATCAAATACAAGTATATGCTTACCAATGCATTCTCTCGCTGTTGGTCCAAGTTTGTATCCTTCTGGACAATGACATTCAAAAGTTCCAGGAACATTTACGCATTGAGCAATGCCACGACATGGTGGAGGTATCCGTAAACATTCATTATCGTCTATAATAATAATTATAAAATATCTTTTGAGACAACAAATTTTCTTTAGTAAAGCCATAACTAGGACCTGGAATTATATACTTATATAAATTTTGTTAAGTTATTCCAAACACATCATCAACGTGTACAAAAATTTTTTAATTAACTTGAACATTTAGTGATGTGTTATTATCGAGGTTATAGTTTGAGGGTCGGTAGTTATCGATATTTTAAATTAAACTAGAACACCCTTTTTTAGTTAATAACGTGGACTATATTTTTACAATATAACTAATACATTTTACATACGGATAAAACTTTAAGTGCTCCGTACTTACCATTCATCATCCGATTTAAGACTGAATAACATCCTAATATATATAACTTAATAAAGCCTACGCCACATGGACTCCTTCTTTTTTTTTTTTTAACACGACCGGCTTATTGTGGACCGCCCTGTAATTGCTGTTAGGCATTACTTCAGGGCGGCCCACGCCGCCTTAATAATTCACACCATCACGTTGTGAATCAGCTCTTGATTAATTTTGGCCTGATTCGCAACGTGGTGTGACCCCCTCCCATTAGCTGGATCCTAGAGTGGGAATTATTAGGGAGGATTGGCAAAATAACTCACAAAACACAAAAACGAGAACCTAAGGCACCGGCCTAAACCAGCGCCTTAGGTCCTCTTGTGCCGGGCGACGTGGCTGCCTCTATCTCAGGCGTTCCGCTTCCTCCTTTTTTTTCAAGACAGATTTAGCGAACGCCTGGACGAGCAACCACGCTTCCCGGCTAACCAACATCAGGTCCACCATGGACCCTAATCGGGGGACTCCAAAGAGTTCCACACCTGGACCCACGCCGCGCACCGTAAGAGGATGTGCAGAGCGCTGTCAACCTTTCACTGGCGTTCCGAATAGTGGTCGCACGTCAGCTTGGCTGCTTTGCGAATACGATGCAAGTACTCGTTAAAGTAGCCGTGGCCGAATATCACTTGGTAAAACGATAAGTCATCTCACCGTGAGTCCGGTACACCCACCTGTCCAGCCTATGAGGGACCTGGTCCACTCGCCTTTCATCGTTTCCTCCAAGAGGCGAGTCCACCACCCAAGCATGGTTATCCACCTGAGAACCAGCCGGTCTTCGGGTTCGAGAAGCCGGCCGGGTTCTCGGCGGAACTTATGCCTGGCGGCGCGTTCCTCGGCGAGCAGGACGATGGGCGGCTGTGACGATAGGATACCCGCCGTCACTCCGGACACCGTTCGGTACGCTGAATCTGTCCGGATCGCCGCCCGCCTCTGCACCTTGCTACATTGACTCCTACTCAATAACAATTTAGATACTTTTCCCCAATATCCATCAGAGGAAATTAGGGGGTTTTATTCTTCCTAAAACTAAAATTATTTCAACGCTACTATAATATATATAGTAGTGTTGGTAAAAATGTATTACATTTCTACCACAAAAATTCATAAATTTGGAACCCTTCAATGAGGCTCAAACAAAATTTATATACTTCTAGGCCCTAATCATAATAATATATCTACAATAAAAAATATTTAAAAAATTTGATTATTTACCTATGCATTGATGAGAATTTACATCATACACATATCCACTATTACAGGAACAGTGAAAACTCCCTGGTGTATTTATACAAACGCCATGAATGCACATATTAGACATAAGAGCACATTCGTCTATTTCTTCTGATTGATTGGTCATTGGATTTATTATTAAGCCAGGTCTTGTTCCACATAATAATACATATTCCTCTTTAATTAAAAATATTTATAATGAATTACTTAATTAAATTGTATTATTAAAAACACTAACTTGTACTAGGTCCTGGACATGGTTGACAAGGCGAGCCCCAAGCTTGTCCCATAGAACAACAACAGATCATTCTGGTTTGAATATTTGTCATGGGAGCCGTACATTGGTCACTTGTATAATTTAAGAAACAGTTTTCTTTTCGCATGTCTACACATTCCTCTATAAAAATGAAATTTTAATCTAATACTTGAGCCTATTTAATGACTAATATCCATTATTATAAATATTATATTAAACAACTAAAACGACTAACTTCCATTTGATAAAAGCATGAATCCGTCAGGACAAACACAATGATATGTACCGATTTCATTTATACATTGTCCAACATCACAAATACTTAGCTTTTCTTCACATTCATTTATATCTACATATTAGTTATCAACAAAATTAAGAAAATATTACCAATTTGATAAGCTTAATCATATTTCTTACATTACCATAACAAATTGTACTGGTATTATCTAAACGGTAGCCTTCATTACACAGACACATGTAACTACCAAATGTATTGGTGCAGTGACCATTTTTGCATAAATTGTGGTGTTCTTCACATTCATTTACGTCTTCTATAATTACCTAAAAAATTTTTACTTTAAAAATACTAGATTATATTTGATAGTTGTACAAAATTTTAATTACTGTAGAAGGATTAGGTCTATATCCTGTTCCTCCTGGACAAAGAGTTTTATATTCCTCACTATCAAAACTAGGGCACAATTCACACTTTGCTCCCCATGCTTTACCAACAGAGCAACAACAAGTAGCTTTTGTCACAGAAGAACCCATTTCGTGGTGACAGCGTCTTCGACCACCTCTATCTTCTACTTCCATATAGCACCTTCCTTCTCTTTTGTCTAATTAAAAGATGTATAAAGTACTATATCACTATCATGTTATAGTCAAGAAAACAGTTGGATTGGACCACCAAGATATCAAGAAATTTTTCATTGAGACTGCCATCATATTATTAATTATTAAAAATTTAATTTTTGTACCTAAATAATATTTTATTATTTTTTTTAAGTTGATAGTTAGGTATGATTTATATTTCCGTTTGTCTTATCCGTCCATAAGATAGAGTTTGAGAATTATAATAAGTTTTATAATCTCATTCGTAAAACGGTAGTACAGTGGGGTCGTGGCATTGCTGGACAAGTATAGATGATATCTGACAGTGATTAAAATCACTATCATAAGAAACGATTTGATGCAAATTTGTAGATAGTGTTTAATTTTAACAAATTGGTGGGTTACTCCAAAAGCAAAGTTAATTCCTATTATTTGTTCAACTTCGACTGCCACTTGCACATAGAATATAGGTTGTCGGGATAACTTTTTTTTTTAATTTGTAGTACGTAACATTAAATTTAATTTAAAATATGTTTAAGGAACACAGTATTTCTGGAACATTTTCAAAAGTTACGTTGAAAAAGTTTAGTTTTATAAAAAAAAGTTGCTACTTGGAATCTCCCCTTGCAGGCAGGTAAAGGGTCAGATTATCAAAAATTTATATCAAATTAAAGGTAAATATCTAAAGTTTCAAAATAATATAATTACTTTGATTATTTTTCAAAAAATTATGGCAGTTTTATGTACCCAAGTAACATTGATTTTTTACACGAAAATAAAATTTTTTGTTTAATTTCGAAGGTTGAAAAATTTGACTTTTGTACAAAAGTTGCTATTTTGAATACCTCATTGTGGATAGGTAAAAAGTCAGAATATCAAAAAAATTATATGAAATAAAAGCAAAATACCTAAATTTTATATTTAAAAAAAAATTATTTTTATTTGTTAATTTTTGAAAAAGTTATGATAGTTTTAAGAAAAAAATATCAATAATTTACAGACTTTAAAAATCATATTTTTTTGCGGGTTTTCCACCATTTACGAAGAACGAAAGAAAAATATTGAATTTTTAAGAATAATGTCTTCAACTAGATACGATTTGTGATCTTTTGATGCATTGTTGAGAAAAATCGGTTTAGTAAGAGTCGAGATAAATTACCAACAGACACAAAAAATTAAAAATAATACTACATCATATTAAAATTAATACCTTCTCAGCTTCGCATCAAAGCTAAAAAAAATGTTTAAATAATATTTATTCTGTAAATAATTGAGAAAAAAACATCCTGTACATGGTATTGAGAATTACTTTTTTTTTAATTTTAGGTTTTAACTTTAATGGTATTCAATTCCTAATTTTTATTATAATTTTAGTAAAATATTACCAACACAAGCGTTTCCGGAGGCTACTAATTCATAATTTGAAGGACATAAACAAGTGTAATTTCCTTCATTATTTACACAATTGCCATATAAACATACTTGTGGACTTTCACATTCATTTACGTCTGTACAATTACCTGTAAATATTAAAAATGAACTATTACAATTAAGTTATAGCACTAAGAACACGTCGACCTAATTTTATTTTATGCATCTATAATTTAAGATATTAAAGTGACTTGTTTTTTTATTTAAAATAATGAAAAAATATATCTACTTATTAAAAAATATTATAATAAATGTACTATTAAAGATACATTATATAATAATAATTTTTGTCGCTTTAATTAAAAATTAACGAATTATTGATACTTCTTAAACAATTTTTACCACCAGTACTGTCCAAAGTATATCCATTATTGCATTCACATCTAAACGTACCAAATATATTTTCACAAATTCCAAAAACACATAGATTATTAAATATTTGACATTCATTTATATCTAAAAAAATATATATATATATAGTCAAGAACATAAATTTAGTTAAAAAAATAAAAAAATTAATTTTTTATTTCTGTCCATGAAAACTAAAAGTATTTTAATATCATAGTAAGCATTCATTTTCTATTTTTTATTTTTTATTTTTTATTTCTTTTCTTCTTTCTTCTGGGATTTCCGGCCATCAAGACCATCCCATCACACATCCAATCCTCTAGCCTTCCCTATCCCCCGCTCTTGTTTTCAAATCCCGTCCTCCGTTTAGTGTTTCTCATCTCAATCGTGGTCTTCCCAGTGGTCTCTTACCAACTGGGTTATCGTCCATGGTCATCATTATAAGATGGTTCTGGCTTCGCATAGCATGAACAGCCCATTGAAGTCTTCAGTTTCTAATTACGCTTAACATATTTTCTTTCCGGAACATCCTTTCAAGCTCCACATTTTTTCTTGTTCTCCATTTTCCCGTTTCTCTGTCTTTAACAGGTCCAAAAATCTTCCTTAAAACTTTCTTTTCAAAAACCAGAAATTTCCTTTCCTCAGTCTTTCTTAGTGGCCAGGCCTTAGCCTGATAATTATATCTTCATTTCTATTAACAGATATCGTGATCCTAATATTTTGGTGAGTTCATAGAAGCATTTATTTCTTGATAGAATTCTTAGTGCTAGTTTTTAATCAGTCTCATTTTTTTCTGTTAACATTGAACCCAGGTACTTAACTTCTTTGGCTCTACTAAACTCATATCTATCAACTTTCAGGTGAGGAAAAACGACCGCACTCCCTCTTCTAATCATAAACATCTATTCTGATTTTTCTCGTTTACTTATAATTCCACTTTCTTTGCATTTTCCTCGANATCTATCAACTTTCAGGTGAGGAAAAACGACCGCACTCCCTCTTCTAATCATAAACATCTATTCTGATTTTTCTCGTTTACTTGTAATTCCACTTTCTTTGCATTTTCCTCGAAACGAGAGTATAGAGAACTTAAATTATCGTATGAATTGCTCATTAGTACCACATCATCCGCATATGTATTTTACCAATTATCTAATTAAAAACCCTATAGTCATATACAATTTTTTACAGTTGAAATTTATTGATTAAGTTTTGAACTACTACACAAATATCTTAACAGTGGTACTATATGTCATTGTATAAATAAAAACCTACTAACCGTTAAAAAACCTTCATTTTTAAAGGTTCCAATATTTTTTTTGAAAATAAAATTTCTTTTACTGTTCGGGTTCTAAATATTTAAAAAATTCTCTAGAAAATTAATTTACTGTACTATACTAATTTCTTTATTTTATATAATTAATTTAATATGAAAATTTTTGATAATTTACAATTTTACAACTCTTACCAATACAAGACTTTTCATTTTTGTCATCAGGATTAATAAAACCCATTTCACATTCACATCGATATGAACCTGGATAGTTAAGGCAATGACCATTTTCACACAATGTTGAATCTTCTAAACATTCATCGATATCTGTACATATATATCCATCACCACGAAAACCATCATCACAAACACACTGATTTGTTTAAAAATTCATTTCGGTTATAATAATAAAATAATTTTTTTTGAACAAAAATAATTAATATATTATATTTCTCTTACTTTAAATGTTCCATCTTCATTTTGACACTGTGCATTTTGATCACAGCCACCATTATTTGTTAAACATTCATTTATATCCATACAGTTATAACCATTACCAGTAAAACCATCTTGACATCTACAACTGTATGACCCCTAAAATTACAAAACAAAAGTTGATAACTATTTATTTATCGACATACATATACAAAAGTATATGATAAAATACGCAAAAAAATTAAAATTATCAAGGTTAAGTATTCGTTTTGTATAATTACTGGATTGTTTATACAAGCTGCATTTATATCGCACTTATGAGTACCCATTTCGCATTCGTCGTCATCTGTACATGTTGGTTCGGAATCTAATTTGACTGAATATCCTTCTTCACAACGACATGTAAACGATCCTATTGTATTACTACATAATCCATTACCACATACATCCTTTTTTTCGCACTCGTTAATATCTGATGAAGAAAATTATTATTACTAATATTTTATTTGCTGAGAAAAACAAAATAAAACATTTACCTAAACATGATGATCCATTGGGCCCTATTAATAATCCTCCAGAACATGAACATATGAAACTTCCTAAAGTATTATTGCATGTACCACCATTACATACTCTTGGATTTACATCACATTCATTGATGTCGGCACATGTTCGTTTATCGCCTAACAACATATATCCAGCCCTTAAAAAAATAAAATTATTTTCACTGTAATAAGAATAATTATTTTTTTTTTTAAGAGATTTGACATAGTCAGTACGCGATATTGTCTGATTTATTAATAATTCAAGATTTATATAATTCAATTAAGAGTGACTACTGTTACTAAGTAAAAAAATAATTCAGAAATTCTTTTACATTGACAATGGATTTCGATTTAAAGTATATAAATTAAGAAAATTTCTCACTAGATAATACTACAATAATCTTTAAGTTTATAAAAACGTAAAAAAATTGTTTACATAATAAAGAAATGTTGTATTTTAGATTTATTTATAAATAAAGTACTTTGGTTCTATTATATTTTTTATTTCTTCATATAACATACCTACAAGAACACATAAAGCTACCAGGCATATTGATACAAACTGATGAGCAACCGCCATTATTGATTAGACACTCGTCAATATCTAAAAATATATTTCAAGATAATATTCATGTGCTGAATAATTTTGTTAAATACTCCAAAAATAATTGAATTTGCTCACCTTCACAGTAAAACTTTTGATCAGTTTGTCTATAACCTTCATCACAAACACATTGGTAAGTTCCCATCATATTTTCACATACACCATTTGAACATATTCCACTAGTTATTGAACATTCATCAATATCTAATGATAATTTTAAAATATCAAAAATAATATTTTATAAACCAAAAATAACTTTATCTATATTCACCTTTACAACTTTGTTTATCAGTAGATAACTCATGACCTGGCGGACATTCACACTTAAAACTACCCGGAGTGTTTTTACAAGTACCACCACGACATAATCCAGAGGTTCTCTCGCATTCATCAATATCTGTCATAACATAAAATTATCATTATTATTATTAATATTTCTCTCTTTATCCACAACTATATGAAAACAAGTAGCTTTTTCAATCGAGAATAACACAAAAAAAATCAAGCTCCCTAATTATCAGCAGTTTCAACAGTGTAAGTCATTGTACAATTTTACATTAATGTGCAAATATTTTACAATAATGTTTATTCTATCAATTACAAAAATTATAATTACAATACATTTTTGTATTTTAATTGATTAAACGATAGTTAATTATAATTGTTTATGTACTTATTTTAGCTTCGATGCGAAGCTGAGAAGGTATTAGTTTTACTAAGATGTGTTTTTTTTTTGTGTTTGTTACCACTTTTTCTCAGCTCTCACCGAACGGATTTCTTTCAATGATACGTCAAAATATCACAAATCGTATCTAGTCGAAAACATTACCATATTATTACATAACATATTCTTTTTTGTACTCAGCAATCGAAATAAAATAATTTTCAAGTGTTTTAGCTTCGATGCGAATCTGAGAAGGTATTAATTTTACTATGATATGTTTTTTTTTTTTTGTCTGTTGCCACTTTTTCTCAGCTCTCACCGAACGGATTTCTTTCAACAATACGTCAATAGATCACAAATTGTATCTAGTTAAAGACATTACACTTAAAAATTGAAAAATTTTCTCTCGTTCCCCGCAAATGGGGAAAATATCTAAAAAAATTACAAATTTAAAAATCGGTAAATTTTGTCATTTTTCTCACTTTTTTTTCTTAAAACTTCCATAACTTTTTAAAAATAAACAAATCAACATAATTTATTTTTATACTAAAACCTTAGATATTTCCCTTTCATTTGATATCATTTTTTTGAAAATCTAACACTTAACCTGCTCATTGGGGGGGATTTAAAATAGTAACTTTTTTACAAAAACTAACATTTTCAACTTAACTTTTGAACATTTTCCGGAAATACTGCGTCCTTCAAACATNTTTTTGAAAATGTTCCGGAAATACTGCGTCCTTTAAACATATATCAAATTAAAGCTTATTTTATGTACTATAAAATGGAAAAAAAAATTTGTCCCGACGACCTATCTTCTATGCGCAAATGGCTACCGTATTCAATAATATGCTATTTTTCTATTAAAATTCTAGGTTTTGTATTTTATTTTATTTTAAAATATCTTATTAGGAGAATATATTGACTTTCATGAATATTATATAATTTAATTGACATAGAATAAAGGTCATAAGACATGAAAAATTAAACTTATTAAATTTTTTTCACTTTTTTATTTTTATACTAAATTTAATAATTATAATTAGTATTTATTCATATATTATATTTTAAAATCAATGAATTACTAATTAGGATATTATCAAAGAAATAAGAGTTGATGTTGCTTTTGGAATAATCCACCAATTTCTCTAAATGAAACACTATCTACAGATTTGCATCGAAGCGTTTCTTATGATAGTGATTTTAATCACTGTCAAATATCATCTATACTTATCCCATCTATGCCTTGTCTACACTGTGCCTCGACCCCACTGTGCTACCGTTTGTTATTTTTTATAGATGATTGATGTCTTCACTTATCATTTGGTATATTATTTTTATAAATTTAACCCTTTATCTGCCCACAGAGGGGGGTTAAAAATGACAACTTTTTCACAAAAAATTAACTCTTTCAGCTTAACTTTTGAAAGTGTTCCGGAAGGTCTTTTATATATATCTAAAATTAAAAGTAGTGTAATATAATTTATTATGGAAAAAAAAATGTGGAACTTTATTTTATCTTCACGTGAAAATGGCTACCAAATGTTATTATTGTATGAAAATTCTCGATTTTGTATTTTACATTTTTAACTTTAAAGTGCTATAACTTTTTTAAAAAATACCTCTTTAATTTGACACACTTTTTTTTTAAATCAAACCGTTTTTTAAATTTCCCTTTATACAGGGGGGGTTCAAAACATAAAAATGCATATAGAATGTAGAACTTTTTCAACTTAATTTTTGAAAGTGTTCTGGAAATACTGACACTTTTATATATATCTAAAATTAAAGGTAATGTAATATACTTTATTATAGAAAAAAAAAATTTGACCTCTGGACTTGTCTTTGTGGTGAAGATAGACATCAAAGTTAATAAAAAAATTACGATTTTTGTAAAATAATTCTTTTTTATGTTTTTAACTTAATAATGCTAAAACTTTTTGGAAAATGTATAGATCAGTAAATTTTTTTTTTTTATATAGATGCTTGATGTCTTTACCTATCATTTGATATATTTTTTTTATAAATTTAACCCTTTACCAGCCCACCGGGGGGGATTTAAAATGACAACAATTTTTTTTAAATATTAACTGACATTATAAATATTGTGTTTAATTTGTATTAAAGTTGAAATTTTGTGTAAAGTTTGTTATTTTTGTCAACGTTTAGTTAGTTTTATCTATAATATGAAACTGTAATTTGTCGTAAGTACGCATGGATTGTCACAACAATATACGATATATAATCTTAATAATATTTCATCTTTTTAGCGTGTACTTGATACATCCTAAATCAATCTAGCCACCATTAAATTTTATTTATTGATGGCTAGATACGTCTCCATTCCAGCTATAAAACTTTAACTAAATATTGGAGCTGCCAAAAAAACTTTCATTTTTTCAAATGGCCAGGGAAAATATGAGCATAAATTAATATTTAAGTTACACTTAGAATGTTATACATAAAAAGAAATTGAATGATTATATTCTATTAAACTATTATTCTATGAAAAACTATTCAAAAACACATATTTTTTATAGATTTAAGCAAACGTGGGGGTTAAAAATATAAATAATTTTTTTTTTAACAAACATGAAAAAACGGAAACTTGTATTGCTAAAACTTAAATATAAAAGTAATTCCAATTATTACTTAAAATAGTTTCTTTTTGAAATAAATTTTATCTCAGATCCCACAAAAATAGAAAGCCCGCAATTATACTTCATCCATGTTTTGTAATCGTATACAAAAACAATTAAAATTGCTCAAGCCAAATTTAAGTAGTTAATAATTTGCATAAAAAAAACTTAGAATTACTTCATTTTTATGACTAATTTAACGAATTGTAACCATGATAAGGTAATAAATTTGACTAAATGAAGGTTTATGGGTTTAATACCTTGATTCGATGATATATTAAAATAAATTATTTCGATAATCATGAGTTTTTACGGAATTTAATAATATTTATATTTTACAGCAGATTTAATAATAAATTAAAATAAAATAATTTTTGCGCTCATACATATGGTTTTACATCGAAGCACTGTTTTGTTATCGGGCTGAGTGAGCAATCTGTTTTCATATAGTATGTGACATACAATCTTTAACGTCTTCTTTGAAAAACTATGCTTGTGTTAAAGAGAATGTAAAGACCTACATAGCTCAGCACAATAGAATCGAACCTCGGTGTCTATGCATCGAAGCATGACGTGTTTCCGAATGAGCTAAGTAAGTTGTTTACTTCGTCTAAATAGTCAAAGGATATTAGTTATTTATTAGTGGTCATTGAATACTTATTTACCCATACAAACTTGCATCAGTTGTGAAGTTTCGAATCCTTCTTTACATTTACATATAAAACTACCAGGAATATTTTGACATTCGCCATCTCCACAAACACCATGCATTATATTGCATTCATCAATGTCTGTAAATTTTAACAACAGTTAAGGAATAACTATATTAATTTAAAATTTTAATCATACAAGATAATAAATTAAATTGAAATAATAGAATACCTATATTATTTATGAATTAATAAATAATGTAATATACAAATATTGTTTTTACCAATGCAACGAATACCAGTATCATCTAAAGCATATCCTTGGCTACATTTACATGTAAATCCTCCCATAGTATTTTTGCATCTACCATTGCTACATATTCCAGGAAATTCAATGCATTCATTAATATCTTTACGATCAAAAAATCCTGGACCCTAATTTTATAATCAGTTTGTAGAATTTTAAAGTAAATAGAATTATAAAGTTGACTAACTTTAGGGCATAAATCAATAAACTCTGGACTACCACGTCTTGGACAACTTTCACTTTTAGTTATAGCCCCTTCTGTTCCTCCTCCCCAAGCTCTACCTATTCCAGAACAACAACAAGTACCTCGAGAATATAATCCATCAATCGAATTAACTCCAGTTCCATGTTTATAATCAGTGTAACACTTTTCTTCTCTAACATCCAAACAAACAGTACCTATACATAAAATTTTTTTTTAATTGTTGATAAATCTATGAAAAATTTGACCAACCAGTTGTATCTAAGGTTAAGCCTGGAGGACAAATACATGTAAATGATCCTTCCGTATTGACACAAATTCCTCCGCCTCGACAAACTCCAGGACTTAATTCACATTCATTTATATCGTGACAGATTTTTCCTACACCCTATCAAACAAAAATTCACAGCTATATTATTAAGATTATTTACTAAGGTTGTGTAAAATACTCCTTGTTTAATATTTGAACACTAGTATTATAAACACTTATTAAAAGGATGCTATTGATTTTTATAGTACTTGTAAAATACTACAAATTTATTAAATATCTAGAGTATTCTCACTCCCCAACATAAATTATATGGTATCAATATTTTTAACCCCTTCACTCATTTTATTTTCATTAAACGTCAAAATTTAAATTACACAAAAAATGTATAATTTGGCAATACTCAATAAAAAATCAAAATGTTATAAAGATTTGTCAAAATTTGGTTTATATAAATTGTATTATTATGATTATGAATTTTACCAATTTACTATTAGGTAATAATTAAGTTATAAAAATGTTCAAAATACTTAATGACGAATACATCACAAGCCTGTTAATCACCATGAATCCTTTGTTACATTCACCACAGTCTTCTAATTTACATAGCTCACATGGACTACCCCAAGCCAATCCAATTGAACAACAGCAATCTGATTTTTTTGTTAGTTGAACTAAATTATTTTCACACCTACCAGCAATTATACGAGTCCAACATGAACCACGGCGGTTATCTACAAAAATTTAATATTAATAATGTTGAGTTAATTTAAAATAAAAATACAAATTTACCTAAACAAACTCTTCCAGTACTGTCTAGTATGGTTCCTGGTGCGCATTCACATTCAAAAGAACCCACTGTGTTTATACATTGCCCAGCTAAACAAGCATTTTGACCCAATTCTACGCATTCATCGACATCTTCACAGGCTTGACTTTTTGTATTTAATACTGTCCCCAATGGACAAGTACACTGAAATAAAATATTGCGATTAAATGAAATAAAAGAATTAATTCTTTTTAACCAAAATATAGGCTTACTTGAAAACTTCCGGGTGTATTACGACATTGTCCTCCATTACATATTGTTTCATCTATTTCACACTCATTTATATCTCTACACAATTTACCAGTGTCATCCACTTCATAACCTGCATTACAAATGCATCGATAATTTCCAATGATATTTTCACAAGCTCCATTCAAACAAATAGCCGGGTTTTGCGCACATTCATTTATATCTGCATTACATAATTTTTTAAAATTTTATTTATTTTATTTGTTTTAACATAATAATATTTTTACAATAAAAAAAGTAATTAATTTAAGTTAAAAATATGATGCTATATTGTTATAAACCGTATAATTCAAGTTTAATAATTGAACTTATGAAATCATACTGGACGGAAGCTGTCATTATTGTTGTGCGTGCTTCCGTCGGATGATGTAGAAAGTAGTATGTTTATTGTTAGTTGTAGCCCTTAATTCCTTATACAGTAGAACTCCAATTATCCGAACTCCGACCATCCGAATCGCCGATTATCCGAATCACTTTCAGAAAAAATCAGAAAAAAATTTGTCCAAAGTCCGCGGCGTCAGTGTAGGCACAACACGTGGTAAGAGTTCCCACTCCAGTTCCGGCGCATTGCAGTCACCTGTCATTGTTTGTTTTGATTAGTCAGTGAATGGGTCCCGGTCCCCATTAATTCGGATAATTGGAGTTCTATTATATTATGTTTTTTTGTATAATTTGTAGTCTAGCTAAGTTTGCTTGTGATACAGCCCATACTGAAAACGCATATGTTAATAAAGGTCTTATTATAGCTGTGTAGAGTAATAAAAAAGTTTTGATTTGAAGTGTTAAGCTATAGGGTTTGTTTCGCCTTTAGCAAAAACCTAGTGGACCAGATGCACGAAAAACCGTTGATTATATTACATTGTGTGACAGCTGATCTCTAGCGTCTTTGCTTTACTCACCTAACACGGCAAATCGATGGCCTCCCTGTCAATTACCATCCTTGAACAGTTCATCATCGTAAGTCAATGAATTTATTGTTTTATGTGTCATATTTTTCGTAGCAAGCTCCTTCGCTTGAATGGCAAATTGTTCGGTCATTGTACGCCTTTATTCTTAATATTTGTTTATTGAACCCTTGTACTCAAAGTTCTCATGCCCTTTCACCCCACCAGTAATTCCCTCATCCCCCAGGTGACACTTTCCCTTTAATAATAGCGATTTAAACAGACTTAAGGTAAAAAGGCATTTTAGTGCGGCGCACAAATAGCCGTCCTACGGTCTAGTTGTCTCGTACGAAACAGATATCTAAATTATAATCTTTATTAAGAANGTTGTCTCGTACGAAACAGATAGCTAAATTATAATCTTTATTAAGAGAATAAAATATTTACTATATAAACACATTATTTGGTTGAATTATTGTAAAAAAAATAGTTTATTTAATAAAATAAAAACTAGAAGGGCCAAATTTTATCAGTAATCAGATTGATATTTTATCTGTGTATTCGATAAAATAGTGAATTTATTTACTAATTACTAATATATTAAGCTAATTATTTAGACAAACTTACCATCTCCATTGAATGTCATTCCATATCCTTGAGGGCAAAGTATATTAAATTCAGGATTATCTGATAATGGACATTTTGAACATGGAGAACCCCATCCTAGTTTATTGCCCGCCATACATTGTGAACAACAACAACTTGATTTCGTTATTGGTGTACTTAATGGTTGTACACATGTACCTTGTTGAATACTGGCGAAACATAAATCACGGAGATTATCTAAAATAATAACTTTTATTAATGTTTTAAAATTTATATTTATTAATGTATGTATTCCTGTATATTGGGGATTCAGAATACTACAAGTTTACAGCTGGTGTAAAAAGTATGAGGAGTTCTGAACAGAACATAGGTTGGAATTGTTCCATTTTTAATGTACGTGGGGACAGATGAGAAGAAATAGAGTAGTTAGACACGTAGAAGGTCTAAAGAATGTAAAGTAAGAATAGGTACGTGATAAGTTGGGACATGAACTGGTAGAAGTAGAGAATTAGCAGAAATATTAAAGAGCCAATTTTCTGTTTGACATAACTAATAGAAAAATATGAAAAAGCTGTATAATGAATTTATAGATTTGGAGAAACCGCGTAATAAAGTACCAACAGATATATTAAGTGAGCTTTAATGAGAAAAGGAGTCTTAAAAAGGTATATTAATATGACAGAGGATATGTATGATGGTATTTATACCAGAGTAAAAAGTACCGGTGGTATAACATAAGATTCTAGGGTAAGAGTAGGAGTATACCAAATATTAAACTAAAAAAGCCACAAAAAATTACTAAAAAATTGCAGACATGTATTTCGTTAACAATGTTACCATTATCAACGCTAAACACATACTGATATCCTGACCAGAAAATGCCCTCTTATATACACCTAGTAACCTTATCACTAAATAATATTATCACAATTTGCCAGTTTACACGAGTTTAATAATGAATTTTTCAGTGGGCCAAGATCCCAATCAATTAAATTGTTCTTATTTTAAAACATTTCTGTTGCCTTCCTTATATTAAGTTCTTTGTAATTATTTATGTTTTTAATTAGTTTTATGGTTTTACTGAAGTGATTATGTTTTAATAAATATTCAGCCACTGAAATTGATCAACTTCTTGATTATTAAAGTTTCTTAAGTCATCTTTAAACATAAGCTCTATATTTCTTTATGTTTGTCCTACGTAACATTTTTTACAACTTTCAAATTGTATTTTATAAATGTCTGATTTTCCCCTTCTTCTACTTTATTTTTAGAATTATCTAATAAATCTAATAAATTATTACTCTTAGATTCTATTACTAAAGTAATACCAAAATTCGACATTACCAAAACGAGGTAGGTGAAATGAGGAGATGAGTAACAATAAGCGAGAACGTAATTGCAGAAGTGGAAAGATTTAAATATTTAGGATCAGTTGTGCAAAAGAACGGTAATGTTGACGAACATGCAAGATAAATGACTAAGTATGGGTAAGTGAAGTGGAAAGAAGCGTCTGGTATTTTATGCGATAATAGAATTCTAATGAGACTAAAAGGTAAATTCTATAAGACTATAATGGGACTAACTATGATGTATAGTTGTTAGACTGTTAAGAAGAGAATGATAATCAAAATAAGTGTAGAAAAGATGAGAATTCTTAGATGGATGAGTAGAGTAGCTAGAGAATATAGGATAAAGAACGAAAATTTAAGAGAGAGTTTAGGTGTAGCGTCAATCTTAGATAAGATAAGAGAAAATACACTTGGATGGTTTGGTCATGTTATGAAGATAAAAGAATCAGAAATTGTAAGAATAGTAACTATTCTATTTCCATAACTATTATTGGAAGAAAATGTAAAAGAAGATCAAAAAATAAATGTATGGATATTATTGAATACGAGATATGAAAACAGCTGATTAAAGAAGTATATTAATATATTTATATTATTTTATTTTTATCTTGAAATATACCTAAACATGTACGTCCATCTGGTCCTAAATAAAAGCCGTTTTGACATTCACAGCGAAAACTGCCAGCTGTATTAACACATTTACCACTCTGACAAGGGTTTATATTATTTGAACATTCATCAATATCTGAAAAAAATTACATTTTATCGAATTATTCTATCGTGAAATAGAATAACTTACCTATACAACTTTGACGATCAGGTGATAAACGATAACCAGAATCACAAAGACACTTATATGATCCATCGGTATTGGCACATTTTCCGTTCTTGCAGAGTTCTGGCCTTCTTTCGCATTCATTGATGTCTGCACAAAAAGCACCATCAGGTGACACATTGTATCCAACTTGACACTCACATAAATAAGATCCGGGTGTATTTCTACATCTTCCATTCAAACAAATTCTTGGATTTTCATAGCATTCATCAATGTCTAAAAATGTAATTTAGTTTAATTAAAAAAGAAAGCACATAAAGTACAAATAATTTCCCAAATCAAAAATTTAATCATTTACTCATTTTGTATATTAACTATTTTGTCAATTTTTTTAGTTACATTTTAAGCAAAAAGAATTATTTAATATGAAAATAACAGTATGATTTCTGCTGTCCCCTTACAAAAAAAGAAGTTATAAAAATTAATCAATAATTATTATAATTACTATAATTTATACCTAACTATTATTTTAAAATTATTTTACCTGTACAGGAATGTCCAGTTTGTGACATGACAAATCCTGTTTTGCACTTACACTGAAATGATCCCTGTATATTAATACATATTCCATTCGCACACATACCATTTTGCTCACATTCGTTATGATCTGAAAAAATAGAATAATTAGATAATGTTAATAAATTTGAAATATTTATTTTTATTTATACCTATGCAACGTTTCCCATCGGATGCTAAGTCATATCCCGAAGGGCATGAGCAAATAAAACTACCTGGTGTGTTATTACATTGACCATTATTGCAAATACCTTGTTGTAGACATTCATTTATATCTGCAAACAAAACATATATAAAATATTAAAATATAATATTTTTCTATGCATTTATTTTTAATCTTTATTTACACATAGATAACTAGCCTTCACACACTTGCGAGTCTTCATGACGACTCTTTGAGAAACCAGGATGGCATTCACAAGCATAACCATCCACTGTATCAATGCATTTTCCTCCATTACCACAAATTTCAGGCCTTAAAGCGCATTCGTCAACCAAATTTAAAACTGTATGATTAAATTTACCACCCAAACATAATTTATTATGTTCAACTAGGATAATAATTATATTGATTAGAGTACGATTATGTTAAAAATTAAAATGTTATTATAAAACATAATATTTACTCATTCCTTGAGTTGGACACTGTTCACATAAATTTCCCCAGCCTTTTCCCATATCTTTTCCACAGCAGCAATCTTTTTTCGAAAGTTTAATTGGCAAAGGACTTGTACATTCTTGATCTGGAGAAATTTTAGTATAGCAATTACCTTGTTGAGTATCTAAAATAAAGATTTCTTATTTCAATGAAACTATAAGTATAAAAGTTATGCAAAATAACTTTGCATACAAAAATGTTTATAATAACTTAATAAAATTAATATTAAGTATACATAAATATATAAAATAATTTGTAAATAATATATTGTATTATAATAAAAATGTTAGTAAATAAATAAATTACTATACTTTTTTTTTATTTTTAAAAAAATTATATTAACTAGCTATATTACCAATACATCCTTTTCGATCGTTGGTAGGTACAAAACCTTGTTTGCATATACAGTAATATGAGCTATCAGTATTAACACAGTATCCATTTTGACAAATGTTTGGATCTCCCTTTTTACACTCATTCTCATCATCACACATATTTGTTACTGAATTATGAATTCGTCCTTCAGAACATATACATTTAAATGATCCAATTGTATTTACACAAGCTCCTCCTTTACAAATACCTGGTATGGCTTCACATTCATCAATATCTAAAAACACATTAAAAAATATAAGAAGTTTAAAAAAATTACACGTCTTTAAATTTACATTAAGCTCTAATTTACCTATGCACTGATTCGAATGCACATTTTTTAAGAACCCTAAATCACAGTCATAACTTAGTGAACATTGTTCACATGGGTGACCCCATGCAAGACCAATAGTAGCACAACATAATTGTTTAGTACATACAACTCCTTCTAATTGCCCTTGACACATGTCATTTACTACTCTAGTATAACATGGACCAATTCGATAATCTAAAACAAAACAAAAAAACTTTTCTCATAATATCGTATTTCAATAAATTACTTGAACATAATGAGTTTAAAAAAATAATCTAACAAAAAAAAAATATTCTACTATTATTTCAACTACTCGTCAATGATATCAAGAGTTATAAACAAAACTTTTATAAATTAGACTAATAATTAGTATTAAATTTAATAAATTTACTCAATATCATCCTATGTTATTAAAATGTTAAAAAATGAAGTTAAATATTGAAATATGATTAAATTTTAATAACTTATTGTTTACCAACCGGCTTCACACCTCCTTCCAGCATAGCCATATACGCATGCACACCTATCTGGTCCAATACATCGACCACCATTTAAACAACCATCTCTACAAATAGCTGGAAACAAATTAAAAAAAAAAAAAATAATATATTTTTACTTATTTAATATATAAATATTATGGAATTTTAAAGCGTACTTCAATTTATATATAAATCTATAACATTTTTTTAATAAACTATATAGTAACAAATGTTATTAATCAAAAATAAATTTTTTTTTTTTTAATTATTATATTAATTATTGGTCAACTATGATTAANTTTCAATTTTTGAGGGTATATTAATCAAAAATAAATTTTTTTTTTTTTAATTATTATATTAATTATTGGTCAACTATGATTAAAAAATTAAAATTTCTTAATTTTACACTTACGGTTTGCGCACGTTTCACCAGTATAACCATACCGACAAAGGCAAGTCGTTCCTTGGCAAGATCCGCCATTTAAACAATGGAACTTACATGTCTGACTTCTGACATCTGTATTAACGCTACTTAATATTGCAGTAGTCGATGTGCTTTTATTTGAAGATTTTTCGAACCCTTCTGAGGGCTGATCTTCCATCGACTTTGTAACCGTGAAATCTCTGAAGTCGTCAGGCAAACATGCCGGACGTATAGATCCCTCGTCACATAAACACATATTTGGTTTAATACATCGTCCACCATTACATGGTCTATTACAAATCGCTAAAAAAATAGAATATTCTAGTAGGATCTTTATTAATATTGTAAAATATATCCTTACCTAATTTAAAAAAAATATTAATGAACCTAAATCATGGAATTTTTATAGTCGAGGATTTTGAAGGATATAAATTTATTCTAATTACCATCATTTAAATGTAAAAATTAATTTTTCAAGTAAGAGCATCGGTATTTTTATAATTTATAACATATTTAGAAATACTTATTTAAAAAAAAGAATTAAAAATATCTTGCAATGCAAATATGAACATTTAAAATTTTCGTGTATCGCTATAATTTTTTTGGTCTAAATGATGAATATTATTGGGTAAAAAATCACAAATTGTATATAGTTGAAAATAATGTCATTAAAAATTGAAAAAAGTTTCAAAAATGGTAGAACCTAAAAAGAAATTAGAATTCTTTAAATAGGTCTACCTATTCTTCCTTCAACATTCATTTCTATAACTGTTCTTACAGCTTCCGATTCTTCACTCCTCATAACCGACCAAACCATCTAAGTCTATTTTCTCTCATCTTATCCACGATTGACGCTACACCTACTATATGCTATTTCTTTATCCTATCTTTTCTAGTCACTCCACTCATCCATCTAAGTCTATTTTCTCTCATCTTATCCACGATTGACGCTACACCTACTATATGCTATTTCTTTATCCTATCTTTTCTAGTCACTCCACTCATCCATCTAAGTCTATTTTCTCTCATCTTATCCACGATTGACGCTACACCTACTATATGCTATTTCTTTATCCTATCTTTTCTAGTCACTCCACTCATCCATCTAAGTCTATTTTCTCTCATCTTATCCACGATTGACGCTACACCTACTATATGCTATTTCTTTATCCTATCTTTTCTAGTCACTCCACTCATCCATCTAAGCATTCTCATCTCTGCTACACTCATTCTCTGCTCTACTTTCTTATCAACCGCCCAACACTCTGAACCATACATCATAGCTGGTCTCACTTCAGACTTCAGTCTTGTAGGATTTAACTTTCAGCCTCATTGGAATTCTTTTATTGCATAAAAAACCAGACGTATCTCTCCGCTTGAACCACTCGCATTTTCCTATGTCTATATCCTCGTAAATACCACCGCTCTTTTTCACAACAGATCCTAAATACTTTCCACCTCTCCTATCACACCCTTGCCTATCGTCACTGATCTCCTCATTTCACCTACCTCGTGTTCTACTTTATCAAACTCGTACTCCATATACTCTGTCTTACTTTTACTTAATCTTAAACCCTTTTCTTCAATAGCTGATCTCCACACCTCTAGCCTTTGATTAATTTTCTTCCTATTTTCTGCTATTAGCACTATATCGTCAGCAAAAAACATGCACCATTGCACCTCTTCTTGTATTTCTCTAGTAATTTCATCCATCACCATATAGAATAAATAAGGGCTTAAAGTAGAACCTTGGTGCACTCCTACTCTTACCCAAATACCTTCTGATACTCTTCCTACGCTTTTACCCTGGTACAAGTGCTATCATACATATATTCTATTATATTAAAATTTAATATTATTTAAAAAATTTAGAATTTTTAAAATCAGTAAAACAAAATTTTTTTTATGTAAATACCTCAGATACTTTCCTTTCATTTTATAAAAATTATTTGAAAATCTGACCCTATACCTAATATAAGTTTAAAAAAAATTTGTCAAGACACCTTGTCTTCTATGTTCTCTATATCCCATACAAAGTAAAAAAAAATTGTTATTTTTATGTAAGAAATCATCTTTTTCGTGTTGTTATAATTTCTATTCTAATCTTTTCCATTTATTCGATATTGTATATTTAAAAAAATAATTATAAGTAGTTAAAAGTAATTCGTTATTTTATAAAAAACAAACTTAATACTTTTACAATAAAAGTATACAAATGTGTTTTAGATTTATTACAATAATTTCAAAAAGTATTCCTAGACGTATTTGAAAAAGTTTTATACTCCAGTACGATAATGTATTATTATGGATTTATAAACAAGTAACACGTACGTTTCGATTCAAAATTTTTTAAATGCATAAACCACCTCCCATATGTGGTGTAAAAAATATCAGTCTACAGTTGACTCGCGATAGTCTGACACTACGGGACCGCGGGGGTGTCGGATTACCAAAGGTTGGCTTTAATTAATTGAAGTTGCAGTGTATAAGTTTGAAAATCTCGTTAACGATGTATTTTTATGTAATATTTGACTAGAAAAGATTCAAAATAATAATGTCAAGCTTTAGTTTTTACAAAAGAAGAGTAATTTTTTTAATATTAAAATAATAACACAACATGAATCAGTTTTACAGATTAAGGTAAATAAATAACGTAAGCCTAACTATCTTCTTTACACTGTACAAAAAATAACTAAAACTTAAAAAAATCTATGATTTGTTTTTGGAACGAAGTTCCTTTTTTTTACGCATACATTCAGTCATAGCCTTTTCTTGATCTTCTAACTTCTTAGTTGTTTTAATTTTCAAGTCATCGGAGTCTGGATGTCCGGGAACATTGTCCAGCAGTAAAAGAGCCTTTAACGGCAGTTTCTTAGACTTCAACTGTTGTTTTACCTCTTTTACAAAGTTGTTTTTAAACCAGTCAAAGCAGATTTCTTGGGTCACCCATGCTCGGTGCTGATTCATATAAACAACTGGAAGATTTACAATTTTTGTGTTTTTAAAAGATCGAGGGTTTTTACTTTTGCTGACTGCTAGAAGTTTTGACTTACGACTCCCAGAGCCATTTGAGCATACTATCAAAGTGATCCTTTTTGTAGCTTTCTTCTAGAAACCTTTTTGTCGTCCCCTGTTACAAATGTTTTTGTTGGAAATTGACGCCAGTTTAGGCCGGTGTCATCGGCATTGTAAACCTGTTCAGGCGTCAGGCCATGTTTTGAAATTTTAGTGCTTAAACTTTTAATAAAGTTAGCGACTTCCTTCTCGTCGGTAAATAATTTTTCTCTATATAATCTTTTGCCCTATACCATAAACTTGAGAAATAGCCGTGGAAGTTTCATTTTATAATTTCCCATTTTTCTAGAAGATTTAATGTTTTATGCTTACGTTTATTGCTTCCACTTGTACTTGCATCACACTTAATAATAAAAAACGTAGGGTTAACTGTAATAATATCACAAATAGAGTAACTGCACACTCACGTTATTGCTACTGAACACAGCGAGGAACTAACGGTGATTCGTGAGATACTAGATTGATGACTAGTCGGACTACTGTACGTATCAGACTATAAAGTGTCGGACTATCGTGAATCAATTATATGCCAAGGTGGCGTGAACTTGAATAAATTTAAAGAGTTTTTCAAAACATAGACAACTATTTTATTGTAGGTGGTAATTATAATTCATTTGGGACGGTGTGACCGAGTCGGTAACGCGGCAGTGCTTGACGCGCACTGCCTCAGGTTCGAAACTCGGTCGCGGGCAACTTCATTTACCGAACGAGAGATCAGTTCGATAATTGGAGTCGCCATCTCACTCTCCAGCGATGAACTAACCACCCGTCCCGGAAAATAAATGGTTAAGAGACCTCCTCCTTTGGGGGTGGCCGCTAAATGGGTTGATAAAAGCATATTCATTGAGTATCAAAACTGATTACCCTCAAAAAACGTTCACTATTAAAATCAGTTAACTATAATAAAGCTGAGGTTATTTCTACTAGAAGACCAACATACTGTCTAAGTGACTCAAATAAAATTCCCGATCTTTTAAATATCTTCGTAATAAAGGTATTTATTTTAATTATGTTCAAGCAGAAGAGATGGTAAATCTGTCGTCTGAACACAATTTTGTGTTATTAACAATAAGTTCGAATGTCATATTAAGAAACCTAGCACAGGGGCGTCGCGGCACAGTGATGACGTAGCATGGTTGGATCAAGTATAATGATATCTGACAGTGATTGAAATCACTATAAAAAAAAAACACTTCGATGCAAATCTTTAGATAGTGTTTAATTTAAAAAAAAATAGTGGATTATTCCAAAAGCTACATGATCTGCTAGTTCCTTATTAATATCCTAATTAAGATAAAGTATGTCGAATGAAAAAGGGATTATTAAAAAATAATTATTTCTCATAAAAAAATTGTGTTGATCCATACACTTTTCAATAAGTTATAGCATTATAAAGTTAAAAATATAAATAATAAAATCGAGAATTTTCACACAATAATAGCATTCGGTAGCCATTTTCACCGTGAAGACAAAATAAAGTCCGAATTTTTTTCTTTTCTTAATAAAGTACATTACATTATCTTTAATTTAAGATATATATAAAAGTGTTCAAGTTTCCGCAACACTTTCAAAAGTTAAGTGTAAAAGTAAATTTTTTGTAAAAAAGTCATTTTGAAACCCCCCCCTGTACGCAAGTAAAGAGTCAGATTTATAAAAAAAATATACCAAATAATAGTTAAAGACATCATGCATAAAAAAAAGAATTATATTGATCCATACAATTTTCAAAAAGTTATAGCGTTATAAAGTTAAAAATATGAAAAACAATTTTTTTACAAAAATCGTATTTTTTTTTATTAACTTTGATGACTGTTTTCACCGTTAAAACAAAATAAAGTCCGAATTTTTTTTTTTCATAATAAAGTATATTACATAAGCTTTAATTTAAGATATATATATAAAAGTGTCAGTATTTACAGAACACTTTCAAAAATTCAGTTGAAAAAGTTCTACTTTCTATAAGCATTTTTATGTTTTGAACCCCCCCTGTATAAAGGGAAATTTAAAAAAAGGTTTGATATAAAAAAAAAATTTTTGTCAAATGAAAGAGGTATTTTTTAAAAAAGTTATAGCACTTTAAAGTTAAAAATGTAAAATACAAAATCGAGAATTTTCAAACAAAAATAACATTTGGTAGCCATTTTCACGTGAAGATAAAATAAAGTTCCACATTTTTTTTTCCATAATAAATTATATTACATTACCTTTAATTTTAGATATATATAAAAGACCTTCCGGAACACTTTCAAAAGTTAAGCTGAAAAAGTTGTCATTTTTAACCCCCCTCTGTGGGCAGATAAAGGGTTAAATTTATAAAAATAATATACCAAATGATAAGTGAAGACATCAATCATCTATAAAAAAACAAAAATTATATTGTTATGTTCATTTTTAAGAAAGTTATGGTAGTTTTAAGTAAAAAAAATTGAAATAATTTCAAAAATTAGCGATTTTTAAATTTGTAATTTTTTTGGAGGTTTCCCCCATTTACGGAGAACGAGGGAAATTTTTTCAATTTTTGAGGGTAATGTTTTCGACTAGTTACGATTTGTGATATTTTGATGTATCATTGAAAGAAATCCGTTCGGTGAGAGCTGAGAAAAAGTGGTAAGACACAAAAAAAAAACACATCATAGTAAAACCAATTCCTTCTCAGCTTCTCATCGAAACTAAAAATACGGAACAAGCAGAATGTATTATGTCCATTATATCAATGTATATAATTATTTAAACAATACGAGTTGCATAGAAATGCTTACTCAGATTTCTATTTAAATGATTTATTACAATAAATAAACATTTTGAGTTTTATTGTTAATAGTAATTATTTAAGTATCTGATCACTGATCAATTTAAAATATAGAATATTTTATTTTACTGATCACTACAGTCACTCATCACTATCAAAGACCAGCTACACGAAAAACCGTTGATTATATTATATTGTGTGACAGCTGATCTCTAGCGTCTTTGCTTTACTCACCTAACACGGCAAATCGATGGCCTCCCTGTCAATTACCATCCTTGAACAGTTCATCAACGTAAGTCAATGAATTTATTGTTTTGTGTCATATTTTTCGTAGCAAGCTCCTTCGCTTGAATGGTCATTGTACGCCTTTATTCTTAATATTTGTTTATTGAACCCTTGTACTCAAAGTTCTCATGCCCTTTCACCCCACCAGTAATTCCCTCATCCCCCAGGTGACACTTTCCCTTCAATAATAGCGATTTAAACAGAATTAAGGTAAAACGGCATTTTAGTGCGGCGCACAAATATCCGTCCTACGGTCTAGTTGTCTCGTACGAAACAGATAGCTAAATTATAATCTTTATTAAGAGAATAAAATATTTACTATATAAACACATTATTTGGTTAAATTATTGTAAAAAATATAGTTTATTTAATAAAATAAAAACTAGGACGGCCAAATATTATCAGTAATCATTCCATACTGATATAATACATTATTCGTAAGTAAAATAATATATTTTATCACAAAAAAACTTTTTGATATTTGCAAAGTGAATTTAAATATTAAACAATTACATTTCACCAAAAGATATTTAAAAGATTAATTTAAATCATTATTTCGATGCTATTCACAGATACTTAACATTTATTGTCAATTATATCTGTCAATAATTGATATTTTATTGTATATATCGTCCTTACTATTTTGTTAATTTTGTTTTTTATAGAGTGTGACAAAAATTGATTAAAAAATTATTTTATTTTGATGGCAGACTAAAATAAAAATAAAATGCTCTAATGACAAAAATGATTTAATTATGTAATTGTACTACCTTTTCAAATTTATATTGTAAAAACTCAAAATTTTAGCCGCTAAATTACATTAAAAAATAATAATACATTAAAGGTAATAAAAAAAATGGCCCATCGCTCTCTTGAAATGACAAATATATTAAGCTTCTTTTGCTCTAATCCAATGGTATATAAATTATCAAGCCTTTATAATGTTTTCTAACCTAATTCTTAACATAACTTTTTCTTTAACTTTTTTAAAACTCTTCATTACTTTAATAAATAATTTCAATAACTCTCTATAATATTTACCTTTTTTACAAATTAATCCTTTAATCATTTATCTATATTTTATTATTTTTGAATTTATTATATTTTCAATTTTTCCTTTTCCTTCTCTAGTTACAGAGACTTTTCGGAATAATTCAGTAATTATTATCTGAAGTTACTCAGAAGAATCTATTTTTTAAATAAAAGAAGTTCATTACTTGTTGCGTCTGGTTCAATATGTATAATAAATAAATTGATAATTACGAATGTTTATTAATTGTGGATTGTATCTTTTTATTAAATATTTTATTGTAAGCTGGCGATTTGTCCGCGCGTACGTATATCGAGCATAACTGGTCTTATATTGGTCGGCGACCATCATTATTATTGGTATCGCTTAATCGCGTGATAACGAGCGCGAACAATACTAAAAAAAAAACACCTTTAAAAAATAAGACTCTAAGAAACCTATCCAACATATCGACAACAGTTTTATAAAAAAGGTAATCTAATAGATAGACAAAATTACAAATGAGACATTTCAAACATTTTGAGACGATGCACTAAACTACCATTATAAAAATTCATAAATTATAAATATAACAGTATATATTGACCATTATAATGGTTTATGGGTCTTTATAGGTTAAAACTATACTGATGACTTAAGTTGTTTCCTATTTGTTTTTGTAATTTTTGATTTTATTGCTGTTTTTGTTTTAGTTACTGTTGTTACTGTTTTTGTTATTCTTTGAAAAAAAAACTGAAGCACAGTGTAGACAAGGCATAGATGGGACAAGTATAGATGATATTTGACAGTGATTAAAATCACTATCATAAGAAACGCTCTGATGCAAATCTGTAGATAGTGTTTCATTTAGAGAAATTGGTGGATTATTCCAAAAGCATCATCAACTCCTATTTCTTTGATTATACCCTAATTAGTAGTTCTTTGATTTTAAAATATAATATATGAATAAATACTAATTATAATTATTAAATTTAGTATGAAATTGATATTCAATAATTTAATATTGTAATTTAAACGGAGAAATTATAAAAATAATAAAGAAGTTGTATTTTGCTTTATTTTTACGTGTATAAAAATTTAAAGGGCTTGATACAATAAATTTTAATAAAAACTGTTTGTTACTATAAATAAATGCACTGAACTACAAGGAACTATCATCAGTAATAAAATTATACCATTCTAAATCAACTTTTCGTGATGTTTTCAAATCTGCAATTAGACTTTTTCTATCACTTTTAAGTTTTAATATTATCAAAAATTAGTATTTACATATAAAAAATTCGCATCGAAGCTAAAAAATTGGCTATTTAAGCTAACTCAAA